GTGCAGAACCTGGTATTTGAACTTGTTAAATTTCAACCCATTAATCATTGCCCAATGCTCCAACCTATCCAGATCCCTCTGCAAGATCTCTTGTCCCTTCAGAGAGTCAACAGCACCTCCCAGTTTAGTATTGTCAGCAAACTTGCTAATGGTGTATTCAACTCCTGCATACAGATCATTGATCATTGATAGAAATATTGAACAGAACTGGCCCTAGGATTGAGCCCTGAGGAACACCGCTGGTGACCAGTCACCAGCCAGATGTAGCCCCATTCACAACAAACCTCTGAGCCCTGCTGTTCAGCCAGTTCTTCACCCAGCACACCGTGTACCTGCTCATCTCACAGTTGGGCGACTTGTCCAGAAGGAGGCTGTGAGGGACAGTATCAAAAGTCTTACTAAAATCCAGAAAAACTACATCCACCATCTTCCCTTCATCTACTAGGCAGGCAACCTTATCATAGAAGGATATCAGAATAATAATAAAGCAGGTGCCATCTTTTATTCTGGAAATAGAAACAAGCAGAAGATGCTCACACAGGACTGAAATTTATTTCCAAGCAGAATATCCTTCCCTAATAAAAAACTTCCATGGAGGTGTTAGTCACCGCAGAGAACTAGAACAGTTGTTTTATGTGTTATTGGGCACAGTCCAGCAATAACTGGCTAAAATACTACAGTTTGCCTATACAGAAGATCAAAGCAGAGAGTCCTTTCTGGCCTTCATCTGAAAGACGGTACCTTCAGCATCCCACTGCACTCTGTGATAATGCTAGTCTCTATTTTCATAGTGGTCCAAAGCAAGAGTAAACCTGAGAAGACCCCCAGGACAATACAACTTGCTCTTCAATTTGAGAACAAACTAAGCTCCTTCCTAAATTGTGAAATCCACGGCACTTGCACTCTCCTCACAAATGCAGGTGACACTTATTGACAAAGAAATATCACTTTTACAGATCTATATAATAAAGTAATACTGTTTTTTTTTTTAAACAACCAAACAATCCTCAGTCCAAAATTCCTGTTGTTTGTGCTGCTTTATTAAAGTGTAAGTATTAAAAAAGTGATAGCATAAATCTCATGAGCCCAGCATGTTAATTGGAACAGAGTAACAAATTTTGAAGGTTCTGTTTTATTATAATTCACTGTGGAAATCTAAGAGTTATCTGACCATAGATGTATGAATCTATTTCTTGAATTAAAAACATGCCCATCCAAATGTCCCAGGACAAATCCAATATCTATCATTAGCAATAAATAGTGTTTAATAAACACACAAACTCCATGTCTGGAAATCTACTAAAATGTCTCTCTAGACTCTTTCTTCCTAGCCAAGTAGCCGTTTCTGTGAATCTGAACTTAAACTTACAGTCATAAGTCCTACCGCATAATTGTTGCTGCAATTTCTAAGTCATTACATAACACTTGTGTCTTACAAGCTTGACCTTGTTCCTATGTCAGTAAACTATAAAATTGTTGTTCAAGTCAGTGAGAATGGATTTAAACCATTTGTTATGCATAGTACTATGGCTTGTAGTATTATTTTTATTGTACTGCTTGAATTTAGTTCGTCATGCATTGTTCGGCCCAGACTCACCCCATTAACTTCAGAAACTTAAATGAGATGCCTAAACTGGAAACAAAGTGCCATAAGCTTCCTAAATGTGTCAGAGAGAAACAGGCATCTCTACCTACAAAAGATCTAACCTACCTTCTGAACAAAACTCCCCCTAAATCGGGAAAGGGAGAGCTTTTTAGGGAGTTTATTAGTTTGCTCAAGGTTTGTATTGTTTCTCTGCTGAAAGGCAGGTAGCAAATTTTGAACAAAATGTTTAAGCAGATTGTTTGCTAGAAAAATCAACATGAGACTTGCATATGCTTGTAAAGGTATATAGAAATATCTCTATGGGTATTTCTAGTAAAAAAACAAGCGTAACAGCCCGTAAGAAGTGATAACTGCAGTCCATTTACCAACAGGTTAGCAGGAAATAAATGGCAGCTTACTATTGTTCTCTTGCTATAGGGTTTATTGGTGCATTTATGCGGCTCTATTTCATTTGCACATCTGTGAAGAGCACTGCTATATAAAATGTATATGGGCTGTATATGGAATTTAAAACTTTCCAATGATAAAATGTCTCAACAGCCTTTTCATCAGAATTACCAAAAAAACTTCTAAGTCCATGTTTGTTTTTAAATCAGAACACCGCTGTTTTTGTTCAAGCACAGCAAGCAGGAACAGTTCAGCTGCACTTGCATGTCAGTTTATTCAAAGAGGGTATTTACTAATTCACTGATATCCCATTGCCTCAACAAATAAGGAGAGAGTCCTACACATTGCCCTCCACTCTTCTTTGTTTGTGCCTCTTCCAACTGCTGCTCTGGGGGCAGAGCTCTGCATTTGGACAAGCTCTCTTTCTATGTATCACGTGATGTAAACATGGGAATAGGGAGCTTTGAGTACTTCCTCCTGCCTTCACCTTCTCCTGCATTTTATTGTCACTCCATCTGAAAGTAATCAGGATCGTTAATGCCATCCTTAATCATAACACTTCATAACTGGTATTATTCTATCGGGAGATGGGTGTTCAGCTGGGATGGTCATTGCACTCCTGGAAGATGGCTTTCAAGGTAGGCTTCCCACCATGACATTGGAGAATGTACGAGACCTGGATTATTCTCATATCCCCTTCTAGGCTGGATCCTCCACCTTCACACCAAACACCCTCAGCTGTCCCAGATGTTTTAGACACCATTTTCTGTTTGTAGGTTGGTGTGCCCCTGACATTCCAATCAAGATGAAGACCTCGTCATGAAAAGCCATTGTACAGACAAATCTGAAGTGAGTTTACAGTCTACATCAGCCAGAGTCAGATGGGAAAAGGAGGAAGAACAAGGTAACAAAAATAACTTCAGCAGAGAAGCAGGAGCTCAGATGGCTCAGCTTCTAGCAAAACAAATGTGGCACATGTCCCTTCACAAACAAAACGATGGGTAAGTAACTGGAACTGCAAGTACATTCCATGACATTCTGTTCTCACTCAAGTCAAATCTTCACTGTAACAGGATTTTACCCATTCAACATTTATATTTGGTACCTTCTCATAAGCTTTTCTTTTTGTTTCAGAGTCCATCCAGTCATTTTCCTTTTCCAACATGTCGATAAAAGCCCAGCGAATTCCTTCAGTCAACTCCTCCATCTGCAAAACATTTAGCAAACCCCTCCCCAGTGAAATATGTCATGGCAGAATCATTATAAGAAAAGGTTTGGTGCATGCAGGAGCAATGGATTTGGTTAGACCATAAATGATTCCAAATCAGACAGTATCTGCTGTTCTTTCTTGAAGGCTGATTTCTTCTTTCTCCAGTCCTCAGATACCTCTTCTGAAAATAAATTTCTTTCCATTTTCTTTTCCTTCAGGTGCACCACACAACCTGTTCATTGCTGATCCTTTCATGTCACAATTGTGAGAATGTCTGTCTTGAAATTATAAAAAATACTGATTTTAATACTGATTTAAAAAATACTGAGATTTGCAGTGATTTGGGGAGATTTCTGACACTTTGGTTCTAGATCACTAGCCCATGCAGAAGCAGCAGCCAGCTGCAAGGCATTTGCACAAAGTCTTTCCTGCAGAGACAGCATCTGTAGCCTTGTTTGGTTTATGTCAGACTGAGACACGCCTTATTAATACTGCCAAAGGACTGAATTTGGGCTGACAGTATCATGATCCAAATACAAAGCAATATCCAAATATTTAGCCTGTATTTAGCTGTATTTGTGAAGTACTCCTACCCTTTACTTATGGCAGGGATAAAGGCCATAGCTCACAACACTGAGCAGCCTTAACTGCTTCTGTGGTCTTGAACCACCAGTGACAGCTTGCATCGGTGCAAAGCTAGGAAAACCCATAACCATTTTAGCTTGGCTGCTTCTTCAGACACCTATACAAAGCCACAAGCATACCACAAGCAAGTAAAAAAAATAACAATAGGACTGTTTAGTGAGTATGCACACTAAGAAAACACTGAAATGACAGAAAACAAGAAATCTAATGGCTAAGAGATGCATTATATCAGTCTAAAGAGCAGAAATGTCCTCATGCCTATGCATCCGTCTGGCAGCACAGACCAGAAAGGTGTATGCAATCAGCTGCTTCTATTTATACCAACAGATGAACCTCATGACAGATAGCCACTGAGAATACTGTGAGAGTGAGGCAATTCAGGGGATCCAGCTGTTGCTTGAGTCCTTTAGCACAGACCAAACCGGAGTTGAGATTGCACAAGACATGACAGACAATTGTTACATGAAGACTTATTGGATCTTTGTGTTATCAGTTATGTTGCATTTAAAAATAATGAAAACGTCAAGTACCAGAGATTTATATAATTTTATTCTATAGATCTAGTAGCTCTGAAATGTCATTAAAAAGTGGGGACTACAACCTGGAAAGTAACATTACCTTTAGCTAGATTGTTATTTATGTATCAGATGTATGTTTTAACCTGGAACTCTTCATTTGTGGTGGAGTCAGACAAAACATAACAAAGCTCCTTTGATTATTCATTTTTTCCTACCCTTTTCAAAAAACATTTTCTTATTTTTAGAGACAATATGGGACAACTGGAACAGGTCTAGCATTAAATATGACTAAACAGTCAACATTCACAGTAAACTGCATCCCAGGGAATAGGATAACTTAAAGATATTGATGACAGAGCACTGACTCAATTAACTTAGTGCACTAATGAGGTGAACTCCCTGTATTTGGAGGTTACAGGTTCAAACTCAAGCTCTGCAGCTGGGCCCTGGTGTATACTTAGGCTTTATGCACCAGCTGTAGCTGCAGGGGGCAGGGGTAGAAACCTATTCCTGCTATCAAAGTTATTACTGAAATTGCTCAGGCATAGCTGTAAGAAACACTGCAGGCACTCTGAGTTAGAAACAGTGCTATATTTAGACACAAATAATGTCTTCCTTGATAAAAAGAGAGAAGTATCTAAGGTATGAAACATCAGTGACAAAACATGGGGCAAAAATAATCCATATTATCCATAACTCAGGATTTGCTTATCAGACAGATATATGCCATGAGACAGGAAAAAAAAAATCTGTACAAATAAGAGTGCTTTTCTCAAGTGCTTTCTTACTGCTTACGAAAGAGAAATAGGACTGAAAACCAGTGAAATGAAAGTGATAACACCACAAATTATTAACTTGTAAAGCACACTTCTAAATGGATTGCAACAAATTTCACCTGCATCTAATTTTAATCTCCATGGATTATAAGTCTGAATCTTGTGATCTACACTATAAATTTTATATGCATTTCTTATTATGGATGCTACTGTGAATTCAGATATTTTTTCAAAGATTTGGTCTGAAAGGAATTTGCATGCCAAGAAATATTTTAATTAGGTCACATTTCAACAGAAAACCATTCTCTATCAGCTTCTCATAATTTTCCCTCACATATGCAAACATGAAAAAATGTTCGTCCCCTCCATAAAGTGTACATTTCCTATAGTCTTTCTCTTCCCTCTTATCCTGCACAGAGGTCATACTGTTTAATATCCCAGAAATATTTTTTGCCACTGAACTGCCAAATAGCACACTACAAACATGATCAAGAGTCAGGGAACTGAAAAGCTGGATCTCAGAGAGGAAACTCCAGCTGAAGGCAAGTAGCAGAAGAAATGCAGAACCTGAGAGGGGAAACACACGTTTTCCCCTGAGAGGGGAAACACGGAGAAGCCAAATCAGAGTGTTGGTCTGTCTAAAATGGAGTCCTTCCCTGAGAAAACGGTCAAACTAGATAAAGTCAAACAGACAATCTCAGACTACTGAGCCAGGTCTGTGCAGGACTATCACAGAGCTGTTGCTCCCAGCGCAGGATGCTATTTCACATTTCCTAAATGGTTGTGCCTCTCCTGTACCGAGAGCTAAGTTCAATGACTAAATTAGTTAATTTTAAACTGACTACTGTTGGAAAATCAATGGCTGGAAAAGCAGATATTGGAAAACCCTGTGAGAAAAATATGAACTGAAAATAAGCCATAAATTATTGTGAAGGGTAATTAATCATTTGAATATGTTATTACGGGAAGTGATAACATAGCTATGTTTGAAGTTTTAAAATGAGGGTGAACATCCAGCTAAAAGCTATTCTCTGGATTCAGCAGCATGGAGGAATACTTTCCTTCACTGTTGAGCAAAAAAAAAAATCAAAATCACAAATATAAACTCTCAGTATATGGCTCTAAACACCCCTTAATTTGGGCCAGACATCAGTTACAATTTTCTTGCTTAGACTACAGGTGTAGCACAGTTAGCTTTAAAAAGGTAGCCCTGAAGCAGAGAAATCTTGACTAGTCTTTAACTAGTCAGTAAAAACCTTACTATAAAAAGTTTCACTTGCTATACTAAACCATTTCTCATCGATACCTCCCTGCACAGCCTGGCTGTCACTATTTACACAAATTAATGCTGCTCAGCCTGTTTTTGATCTGGCTACATATTTGTCTGAAGGGCTGCATATGGAAAGAATGGGCAGTGCCCAGATGGATAGAAAGGTGACATTTCTTTGAATTTGTTCTGGTTTATCCTTGTTGTCTTCTTTTTAAATTCAATTAAAGCATTAAGAATCTTGTCTCTATTTAAACTTCAGTCTAACGTCAGAGACAATTTGTGAGGAAGAATCCACTAATTAAAAGTTTCTAGACAGAGATCTCAAAGGACTCACCATCTCTTTCTTGTCTTCTTGAAAATGAGTGTTCACAAACATCTTGCCCACAACGTAAGGGAGCGCGTTTTCAACGAGGTCAACACATTTGTCCCACTGGGGCAGCAAAGTTGTGGTTCCATGGATCACCTGTTGGCAGGTGCATGTAGTAGGTCATAACATCATACTGTTTAAGAAGAACAAGTCTGCATCCACCTACAGTATAATCTAAAGCATCTTTGTCAAAGAGCTACCAAAAGGAAACAATAACAATACTTTACAGTTATTTGCATTTTCATCAAGTGCTATGACAAATCTTTTGAACCCCACAAAATAGCTGTAAGATTTTAAACTTAGAAACAGTACAATGGCAATGACTTAGAGAGGCTAGGCTTAGAGGGTTAGTTATGGGAAGACATTCCCAAGTGCCAACTTTAGGCTAACCTTGGCAGTCTTTCTGTGTTAAGCGGAGAGACACTTTCCTCTAGAAAATCCCTGCTCTGAGATATCTCCTGAAAAAGTTTCTCTTCCTCCACTGACTAGGGGAGAAGCCTAGGGAGACCATGCTCATTAAAATGGAGGTCTGTCCTTATGAAACACCTCCTACAGAGCCCTTCACCGCCATGAACTTTTCTGTGCTAACTAATGATGTCTAACATTGGTAGGCATGTGTCCACACCTTTTTGTCATTTTCCTGTCTAGCTACTCTTACCACAGCCTGTGTAAAATAAATAGTTGCTTTCAGTCCCTCTCCCAGAGTATTTTCAGGAGAAAACAGGTTTGAATCATGAAGAACATTGAATACATGTTTGTCCCCCAAAAATCTCTCTCCATGTTGTGGTAGAAAGATGTTGGTAGAACAGCTTGTGTATTTTACTAAAGGAATGGTGGTTAAATACACACTTCCAGGCTCTGATGATGTCCTTGCACCACCATACATGAGTTTCAAAAGAGAAATAGTCAAGAATGGTCAACACACCAATGAACAAGGCAAAATAGAGCTCAAGCACATGGCTGCCTTGCTTTCTGTTTCTCACGGGAAGAATGTTGTTACTGTGGATGCTTACCCAGTAAACATTACTTTTTCTCATCAAGGTAGAAGTTCATTTTTTAAAAAAATACACACAAGAAAATATGAGATGGGTCCATGTAAGCAATAGCAGTGTTGATTTAAGAAACTTTTGTTGTTTTCAAGGTTCAAAGAGTTCCCTTTCCACTTAAGGAACTTCTTAAGCTTTTCCACAGAGAACAAGTAAAATCCCAGTCCAGTAGTTAACACCTGTCAGCTGTGTAAAAGCAGAGTATAGTCAACACCAGACCAGGTCCGTCGGGATAGGATTTTGGCCTCTCACAGATTATACAAGCCTCTTAAACACTGATCTAGCAGTTTCTGAGCCTCTCCTTTTTCCCAGTCTTCTCTTCCTTTGAGCCCAAGATTAAATTTCTAGCAAAACTGAAGGGTTTGGATTTGTTGTTTTCCAATAAGAAAAGATTTCATTGGAAAATTCCAGAGTAGCTTAACCCTCAGCTATTGAAGGTCAGATATTTTGGTAGCTCAAAGATTGATTTTCTCCATCATATTGTCTGTAATTAAGTTTAATCAATGACTCACACTTAAATACACCAGTGAATTGCATTTTCAAACACTTTTTATTAATACTGTATGTTCGCTAATAGATTTTCAATGACAGAGAGAACACTGCTTCTATAAGAAAACCACATTAAGCCAAGCAATACATAATAAGGTAAGTTTCCTAAACAGACCCAAATTTGAAAATAAACTCCTTTTCCAAATTCTTTAACCCTCATATATAACACAGCACTAAAAAAAAAAGAAAAAAAAGAAAAAAAAGAAAAAAAAGAAAAAAAAGAAAAAAAAGAAAAAAAAGAAAAAAAAGAAAAAAAAGAAAAAAAAGAAAAAAAAGAAAAAAAAGAAAAAAAAGAAAAAAAAGAAAAAAAAGAAAAAAAAGAAAAAAAAGAAAAAAAAGAAAAAAAAGAAAAAAAAGAAAAAAAAGAAAAAAAAGAGGAAAAAAGAGAAGAAAATTGCTCTCCTGGGTCCAAGCAAAACCACAATGGAGCTTTTTCCTGATGCAGAGGAAGAAAGGGAGTCATGGCATTAGTCATCAGAGCTTGAAATTCCTTCCAAAAGCTCTGACTACGCATCAGCCACAAAGGAGTCAGAAGACAGAGCTGGCTTTTAGACTGTGACATATTATTATTACAACATAATAATTATCATTATTTTGAGGGAGGCTTGACTGTAAGGAGGACAGAAAGGCAGCACAGGCTGTGAGACCAATAAAAATAGAGCTGAGAGGAATAGATTATATCTCACAGCTGGTTTATTGATGTTTATGTTACAACAGCCAACTAGAACTCCCTCAAAATGGTTCTCCTAATATTAATGTAGCCACTCTAAAACACGGTACTCCAGGTAGTAACAGTGACTATAAATAGCAGGTTTCAAGCCCTCCCAGTCAATTCAGAGCTCCACAACACAATTAACTGATCTCTTCCCCAGATGCCACTGCACATTTTTTAGGACTCAAAGCACCACCGCAGAGGAGCTGCTGATAGTTGCTGATGTGGTAATCAAAGCACTTTCTCTAGAGTCAGCAGGTTTGTCCTATTTCTCAACCTGAAGGTTTTTTCTGAAGTTTCATCATGTCTTTTTCCCTTTCTTTGCAAATAGTTTAAGTGTCTTGATGCCAGGATTTCTACATGTAAGATGTAAAAGCCACCAATAGAAAATGATAACCTGGTGAAAAAAAATACTATGCTTATGACGTGTGAGGCTGACTGAATTAATGAACGAGTAGAAGATATCCTTTGCTTTAAGGGTCACTGATTCATCTCATGATCACGTCATGAAAACAGTCAGTTTTCTTCACTTATCTGGCAAGAGGTTGGTGGGTCCTTTTCATGATCCCAAAGGACGTGTGTGCCTTTAGTCCTCCAGCCTCTGACTGGACAAACCTGTTCAACAAGGCCTTTGCCTTTGACTCCATTTCTCGTGTCCTTTCTGCTGACCTGTGAAGTCTGCTCCCCTGTGCTGTTTACTGCATTTAGCTTTAGCTATTAACTATTAGCTATTGCTGGTTATTGCACTTAACTAACTCTCCGTCTCCAGGTCCCAGGGGCAGATAATGGGAATGAGCTGCTGACTCACTGCCCTTACTGTGCTGTTCTTAAGTTTTCACAACCACTTCCATGAAATCCTTGATGACATTGTTAATAAGCATTGAATCAACTTGAATTAGACTTCTCCCTAAGCTTCCAGAGAAAGTATCCAGAGAAGTGACAGCAGCTAGTTACCATATCAAAATGCACAGTATCCAAAGCTGAAGTTCCCTTCCAGGAATTTTTCTGGCCGTAATATAACTCAGTATAACTCAGTGTTATGCTGCAGGCTGGCTGATGGCCAGCATCAATCTATTTTACCTGGCTAGCAAGGAACGTCCCAGGAGGGGACACACTTACAAACTTGTCGCTGTGGTTCTGACAGCCAGTTTCTCATATTTTGCATGAAGCAAATGGCATCTTTAACAAGACTGATTTTAATGACTTCAGAAGTATAAGAGACTGCCTTTCCTGTGTAGTTTCCATCAAGCTATTGGAGTTTATTTTTAGATATGTGATCAACTCAGAACTATTCCAGCACTACTCAAGGAATGACATTATGGGTGCTTCAATTAGCCACCTGCATGCCTCACCAGGGAGGATAGAGCACCCAAACTTCTTGTACCACGTCACTGGCAGCATCATGCCAGCCTCCTGTTGTCATGATGTCATCAAGCAGCTAAATTTCATAATGACAAACAAAAAGTTCACCATCTAAACTAAAGTGGCTTGGAAACAAGAAGACAAGGCACTTTTCAGTTTCATCCTTGGTTTGCTTAAAGAGCCTTCATGCTGCCCACAGGATTATTAGGGTGGCTTTCTATTCAGGGTTCACTTAATCAAATATATGTGTTTTATATAAAAGCCCATATTACTTAATAGATAATTAGCTCTCCTCTCATAGCTTGGGGCAGTGACTAATGTCTTCTGGGGCTTATGCAACCCCAAGCTGGAAGGCACCTGATCGGCTTCTCTGTGGAAATGGCTGGTGCATGTACGTGCTAGAGCTCATGTAAAGCTGGCACTAGAGCATGAGAGAGGTTTGAGCAAGCTTAGAAAAGCTGAAATCTTTGACTTTTGTTTTACGAGAGCTATATTCACGCATGTGTAAACAGTATTTTTTTTTAAAAAAAGCTTAGATTTTGGCCAAACAGGTTTGGCCTGCCAGAATAGCACAGGTCACAGCCCTGGCACATAACACAAAAACTTTCCAGCTTTCAAGTTTCTGCATAAGACAACTAAGGTTTTTAACGGGGAGGTCTCAAACTCCTTACCATAATCTAAAAGATGTTTTTCCTTAGTGTCATATACAAGAATATGTATGTTTTAATTGTTTAGAGGGAGTCTTCAACAAAAAAATTTCATTCAAGAAATTTATCCAGCATGGAAAACATTTCATGTTTTGCAAATGTATAAGCAACTATAAGGGAAACCAATAGTGTCAACACTAGTACCATTGTAAATGCTATAAAAACTCTAACTTACCCGAGAAAATTCCAGCCATCGATACTGAAAACGTCTACTGAGGTTAAATAACCTTGAATAAACCATCCTCCACACCAGATAGTTGGCAAGAGTCCTGTTAAATCAGACATATTTTGGTCAGACATCTAAACACATATGATGTACCACAAAGCATTCACAGAAATATCTCTACAAACATTTCAACTGAATGGTGGAAATTTCACCTTGAGAATTAATAAGTGATGACCAAATTGGTAAATCCCTATTACACAGAAGAATCTGTATGATTGCAGCCAGTTAATATGTAATTGCACTGTGATAACCATCTTCTAGGGGATATGTATAACGAGTCCATCTCCTAATATGTCAATTTTAGGTAATGCTTTTTTCAAAAGGCAGTTTTCATTTTCCATAGAAGTGGCAAGAACTGTGTCATAATAGTTGCATAAAAGTTCTATCCAGAGATAAGAAAATAACTGATCTTTTTTGTAAATCAAAGTGAATGTTATCTCTCCTCATTAGTAGGGAACATAAATCATAACTATGAAACAGAATAGATAACATTATATCCATAATATGTGTCCATCTTATATATATTATCACTATCTCATATTTGTATCTTTCATTAGGAGTTATCAACATGCTTTTAAAAGTTCTTACTACCCACAGAGTTATTAAAGTATTACCACTCTTATTTTGCAGATGGGTAATTGAAATACCAAAGAAGAGAAGTCTCAGTAACAAGAATCTCACAAGAACTGAGGCTGAGAGGTCCAGGAAGAACGTGTTTAAAGTTCCCAGGAGACCTGATATCCATGCCCCTTTTCTAAAAATTCAAGCACTTGACTGGAGGATTTATCTAGTCTAGATTGAGCTCTCTCCACACTCAGCAGTGGCTGTATGAGATAAAGGTTCATTGTGAAATATGCAATTCGGCTTCAAACAGTCTCAAAACAAGTCCAGTAATGGCCTACATGTTATTCTCATCTTATACATGACATTTTTCAAGGATAGTCATTGCTCTAAAGCTATGGATATCCAAATGTTTGCTCTACACTGGGATATAACATAACATTTTGGGCAGGCCATAGACTTCTCCATAGGGAGGAAAATTGCTCCTTTGCAACCAAATATGCTGTTATGGACTGTCTGAACAACTCCCCCATCTCTAAAAATCCCATTTCTGCAATCTCCCGTTGCCATAGGTGCGGAGCAGTGTAGCTGCTGCTACAGTGTCACTCCATTAGCTTCATTCATGGACACATCCCATACTATCCCCTCCTCTAAATCGTAACAGGTAATAAACTCACTTTGTGGGTGTGTTGTCTTCACAGCAGCATTTGCCTGAGCCATAACTTGAGTTTTGCCTCTAACCAAGCTCCAGTCTAGCCACACAAGGCCTCCAGCTCAAGACATGTTGTTGCTGGAAGCTTACACTCTTGGTCACTCAGCCGGGGAAGTGATAAAGAGGTAAGAATGGAGAGGTTTAAGGCAAACTATAGCACATGATAACCCAGTAACTCCAGCAGCATGCACACATCCAAGTGGGACACTACATCAAGAGCAGATGGGTGGCTGTGCACTCTCCGTGGGCTGGCTGAGACGCATACTGGGGACCAGTCTGGTCAGGCACAGCGGTCAGCAGCCAGGGAAGGCAGGCGCTCTGCAGTGCCGCTAGATTTGGCCGTTCCTGCAGGCTGCTCCAGCTGAACTGAAGCTAGCACAAGTGTGCATACTCACATGAACCTGCACGGCAGTTCTGCATCCGTGGCAGCCTGGGCAAAGCCTGTTTTACTCATCTGTTAAGTCTGCATATGCTTATAGGTCAGAAATATGTTCAACTCATTTCACACAGGAAAACTTGAGGGTGCAATCTCAACTCAATTGTCACCTCAAAGGCCCGATAACTCACCAGTCTTTGTGGCCAGTGGCAACTTCTACAGGGGAGTAGAGAGTTGCTGTGATTTATAAGTCCTGCCTTTTATACTCCTCATCTCTCACACTGGGCATATTCCCTCTTTTAGTATACAGATATATCATATAGTACACATAAATCCCCACAATAATTGTAAAACATATCTGAAAGAGCTTTTTAGCATCGATAATGTACACTTATAACACAGTACATGTTACAAAAGCCAAAACAGTTCACGCTGCTTAGATGATCAAACCATTTTGAGATAATGCTCAGGGTCATTAAAAATTAATTCCACCCTATGAAATAGCAGAAAGTATAGATTTTCCCCTTAACACATTTCTGACAACGTGGAATTTCCTCACTCAATGGCAACTGAAGCACCCTAAAAGTGCTCAGCTCTCATTGGTTTTGTAAATGACTTGAAATCCACAAGCCTCACAACTATCTGCCTCAGGTATTTCAGCAGAGCTGAATAGCATCCATGCTCCTGCTGTAACTACTCTGTGGATCTAAAACAGTATTTATGCAAGTCCTACAGATTAAAAGGTTTAAAGATTTAATTTTTTATCAAAGTCTTAGGTAAAAAACCTCAGCTAAATAGACCGCTATCATAAACCAATTATGTGTTACAATTCAGTACTTAATTGCTACAAAAAAATCAATTCTCCCTTCTGTGTGTTTCTTGTTCTCATCCGTCGGCATTTGTCCTTACGTTGGAGTTGGGGAACCTCGGTCAAATTGGTAGTGAATGAAAGATTGAAATTTGTAAAGGAAGAGTCTCAAAAAGGTGACTCATTGAAAGGCACTAATATCAACAGGAATTCAAAAACTTTTGTATCAGGCATAAGTAATGAAGGCAGCTGTCAGTTTCAGGAAATATCCCACAATTAATTAAGGTTTCCTTCCCAAATTAAAAAAAAAAAAACACAGCTGACACATCCTAACACCAAGCTGTCTGCTGAGATTGTAATAATTCCTGATCACACTAGAATCCACTGATGCATACGATGCATAAAACAGGAAGGTTTCGCTTCAAAGCCCAGAGGTATGTTTATTTGCTGGGGGGGGAGGGACAAGGCGGGGAAAGGTTGAGGGGTTTTGTTGTTTATTTGAGGGGCGGTGTTCTTTATTTTATTTTTCAAAACAAAACAATCATATTTTATCTGAATCTGTTTACCTGTTTGGGGGATGATCATCTCACCTTTCTGTCTGACTATACAAACTTAAAATCAATTGGTCATCTTCATTTGGTTTAAAAACTGACAATTTTTTGTTATGAAATGCCTCCAGTGCATATCTTGGGGTGATTTTCATGCCAATTTCACAAATAAGTTCACGGAGACTCAGAGAAGTTAATCTCTTCACATGGAACAAAATCCAACACACAAATAAAACTTACAAATCCTCTCTGCTCTTTCGATGAGACCAGAGCATTTGTTGGTATAACCTTTCAGAAGAGTACAGTACATAGTCCCCTATTTTAACTTCAAGATGACTGTTACAGAAAGAAGCGTAGGCTTGCTCTTAACCAATACGACCATTATTGTGATACACACTCCCAGAGGAAGTGGTAGACAGTTTGTTTGCTGGGACTGTTAAAATTATACCAGTGCTTATGAATATCTACTAAGAAACTCTCTACCCTGTCTGGGAATAAAGTAGGTTGCTCACGTAAAATTCTGAGTTTGTAATATTTTAATCAACAGACGGTGGCAGTTAAAGAGGATACATTTAATATGAGATTGGTGGACAAATTAATTGACATTTTAAGAAAAAGATGCCTTTCACAAATTTTGAGGTCTGTTTGAAAATTGTATTCAGAATTGAGTCATGAATCAAATTATAAGCACTGAAAAACTCCTGCCTCTATAGCTAGAGGCACTAGTTCAAGTCAAATTATTGTAACTTCTCTCTCTAATTTTTCAGAGGCAGGCTAAGACCAGAAAAGAGATCTAGTGCCCCCATCCCTCTCTAAAGAAAGTTCCTCTTATGCTGCAGGAATTACAGAGTACTTCTCTATTAATTGACCCATACTGCGAATATGGGGTAAGGTCAGGCAAAGGAAACTAGTTATTCATTCTGACATCCATGAGAACGATAAAGCTGCTTCCTTCAACAGCTGCAAGCGTCTCCAACAAGGACACAATTTACAGTATCCTATTTATGGCTCACACATAAAGCACCAGCACACAGGTAACAGGGAAGGGATATAAGGGGCTCCTAACTGGTGCCAGCACAGTCCCGTCTCCACCCTCACATGGCACAGCTGTACTGGAGCTCTGCCATTATGTCATTTATACCACAGCTACATCTATGTTTTCAACATACACCTCTTCTTCCTGTAATAGACATAAACTCCATTAAAAATTAGTCAGTACACTAAAAAACTGAAGGAATCCCTGAATACTTCTTATGAAGAAGGTGTGACTTACTTCAGCACTGAACACCTGACATGACTTAGGCTAGCTCAGGGCTGATGGAAACTCCTGAAGGCTAGTTACTCAGCTTCTTGGGCAGCTTGCTACAGAAAGCCACACTCCTGGGCTGGACTCACAGCAGTGCCCTGGCTTGGGAATTTCAGACAGACCTCCGAACCAATCACACCACTGCATATATTTCAAGCTCCACACAGTAACTTGATTATATGCAGCAGGCTTGTCAAGTAAATAACAGCCTTATTCTACTAACTTCACTCTACACCCTGCCAACGTGCTATTTTCTAGTAATATTGCCATGTGAATGATCTCACAATTCAAGATTGTTCAGC